ATCCAAATAAATCCTGTCTCATGGATATTTGAAAGTATCATGGGGCTGGAGCAATAGTACAGTGGGTAGGGTGTTTGCCTTGCATGTAGCCAACCTGGGTCTGATCCCCGGTATCCCATATGGTCTCCCGAACACAGCCAAGAGTAATTCCTGAGTGCAGAACCAGGAGTATCCCCTGAGCATTACTGGGCGTGCCCCCCCCCCCCAACAACAACAAAGTAACTCAAGGCTGTTGTGGATCACACAAATGTAATCGTCTGTCCCCAGGTCCTCTGCCCAGTGCTTACTTTTCTCCTGCAACTTTTCGCACTAGTTTAGCTTCTGTTCCATTCACTTCCAGCTCCCATCCTCCAGACATCTTGGGGAGGGATTTATGCTTCTGTATCTTCTTTTCTTCTTTAATTTCGTCATTCAGAAATTCAACAAAAGCTTTATCTCCTAAAATGAAATTCCACAGGTCGAACAAAAAGCCAATCAATCTGAAACATAAATGACCTTTCAAGTGCTACAGTCAAACTGTTTCTACTCCTTCTATTCACTGCTGCTCTGGGGCTTTAATCTAATTCATATCTATTAAGCTTCAGGTTCTTCATCTTAAAAGTACTGTATAACTGAGTGGGAGGTTGAGCTTGATTTCTGAAGAAGTGTATTTCAGCAACCAACTCATACTCCTTTCAAACTATGACTTTTATCTTCCAAGAGTTTCATTTTTGAGAAACTGGGTAAAGAAGGTATACGGGATTAAGCTCTCCCTTTCCACAAATTAAACATTTGTATAAGAATGCAAAATGCGCTCACCTCTGGGTACTGAACCTACTGCTTGCCCATCCATCAGTGAGAAACATATTCCTGGCCTTGAGAAACAGCTGGGAGTGGCTAATTCCTGGTCCACATTTCCCCTTCCCCCCATCAAGAAGTCTACATTCTCCACTAAGAACTGCTCCTTCCATCCAGGAGTCTACACGACCACCACGAACCCTCCCCCACAGGTCTAAACTTCCACCAGGAAAGTCCCACTCCCACCCATTGGTCTACACTTCCACAAGAACCCCCCCCCCCCCCACACACACACACACTCTCACCAGGAATGGCCCATTCCCCATCCAGGAGTCTACACTTCCACCAGGAAAGCCACACTCCCACGCAGGCGACTACACGTCCACCAGAAAACCCCCCACTCCCACCCATTGGTCTACACTTCCACAAGAACCCCCCCCCCCCCACACACACACACGCACTCTCACCAGGAATGGCCCATTCCCCATCCAGGAGTCTACACTTCCACCAGGAAAGCCACACTCCCACGCAGGCGACTACACGTCCACCAGAAAACCCCCCACTCCCACCCATTGGTCTACACTTCCACAAGAACCCACTCCCCCCACCCAGGAGTCCACACTTCCACCAGAAAATCCCCACTCCCTCCTAGGAATCTACACTTCCACCAGGAAACCCCCACTCCCACCCAGGAGACCGCCGCAGGCCCGGCCACATGCGGGACCCTCACCTTCGGTGTGCAGCGAGCCGCAGCCGCAGCCGCAGCCGCAGGGTCCCGGAGGCTGCAGGAGGCCGGGCCGCCGCACGGAGCCCGCGCGCACGCTGAGCAGCCCGAAAGGCCGGACGCAGAGCCGCGGCGCGGGCTGCAGCAGCTGCCGGAGTGGCGGCGAGGGCGCGGCGGCCCGCAGGCCGCGGGCGGCAGAGCCCAGGGCGCGGGGCACGAGGCGCAACAGAGACTGCATCGCGGCGGGGAACACGTGCGACTGCGAAGGACGACCCAGGCCAAGACGCCCCTTGACCGAGCGCGCCGCCGGAAGTCCCGCCCTCACGCCAAGCGCTTCCGCGCCGACGCTCTCTCCGTACAGCTCGGAGGGGGGGTCGCGCCCTCTGCTGGCAGCTTCCCGAACAGCCTCCAGCAGAGCTGGAGACCGATGATGGAGCTTGCCTAGAGGAAAGGGCCCAGGTCTGGTATGGAGAGCTCTAGTTTCACATGTCGGCATCAGTTCTGCCCCGTGTAGTTTATGCTTTCCGAATATCCATCTACCATTCTCAAAGCGGACCAGACTTTGCATGACTTCTGGGAAAGCTCTAGTGTTGGTCCCCACTCCCCTCGTTGTGGTCAAGCAAGGGACCTTCCTCTGCGCTGTGAAACAGATGTGAATCTGGACCTTCTTCTTCGTTGTCTCCGCAGAAATTTAAGTTTTAACCTGACCACCTCCCCCTACTCCAACCCGCAGCTGAGGGAGATCCGAAAGGCAGGAGTCAAGGTTTATTACAGCTTAACTTCTAACCCTACAGCCTTACACTGCTCCTTTTGCTTGCTTTGTTGTACTTAAATTCTGATGGGACATTATATTTTTCTGAGACAAGCAGCCGTGCCCTAAATTAAATTGAAGTTAAGAATCAACAGAGTGGGGGCCAGAGCTATAGTAAATACATCAGATAAGGCATTTGCTATGCACCCAACCCCCAGTTCCATCCCCAGCATAGGATGTGGTCCTATTCAGAGTAATTTCTGAGTGCAGAACCAGTAGTAAACCCTGAGCACCACCGGGTGTGGCTCAAAAAGAAAAAAAAAAATCCACGGAGTGGATTAGGGAATGGGAAGAAGACAGCTGATAGGGGTATATGCCACAGGTAGAGAACTTGCCTTGCAAGTGTGAGGCTCTGGGTTAGATCCTCACCACCAACTATCTAAGGAAAAGTCAATGTTCCCCAGGCAGGAAGGTGAATCAAAGGGCTGGTGGGCACGCTTTGCCATGAGGGAGCACTGAGTTTGACCCCCAGATGCTCTGCATATCCCCCTGCCCCAACCACCAGCAGCATTAAGAATGTCTCTAATATCACTGTGTGCCCTACTAATTTGGAAAAAAAATGTTCCTGCCTTACCAGAACACACAGAACATATTAGGTACCAAGAATATAATTTCATTAATTAACTTTTGCTGTTTTGTGGCACACTCAGTGGTGCTCAGGGCTTACTCCTGGCTCAGCACTCAGAAATCACTCCTGGCAGGTTTAGGCGAGCAGATGTGATGCTGGGAATCGAACCCAAGTCAGTCATATGCAAGGCTGCTGAACTATTGCTCCGGTCCAGAATATACCTTCTAAATACAAAAAATAAATTTAGTATAGTTTAAATATTCCTTAACAGTATTCTGTGAACAAGGGAAAGGATACCAAATAAAATAGCCACAATCATCATGTATAAGATTTTTTAATGGATTTGATAGTCATGTGCAAATCTGAGCTTAATACAATGTTTTTATAGAGCTATCCCTGTTTTCACTACTAGACTCTTAAAATACAATATGAATCTACATTAACTTTTTTTCTTTCTGTAAATTACAATATCCTGATCAAATAAAATATAAAATCCGTGTTTCCCAACTGGTACAGTATTTCCTTATAAGCCCAAGACATGATATTTTAGATGTCTTGCCCTAGATCCAACTAATCATTAATAACGGGATTAAACAAATTTATGCATCACATTTATAATCAGTTTTTACTCAGAGTAAAACCTTGTTTCTATTCTGATCTCCATAACTAGAAGAGATGCAATATGAAGTAAAAGACCCCACCTCTACCCCACAGCTTTTGTGCTTTAAAAAAAAACTTTTTTATGATAGTTTAGGTGACAGGGCTATAAGAGTGTTTAAGTTGATAGTATCCAAGTGCAATACTACTGAATACTTATGACCCTCCATTTCTATCCCTATGTCACCTCTGGTCTAACCTTCCTTCCCTCCCACCCTTTCCCTGCTATTATTTACTGGTTGACTATGGTTTTGGTACAAAGTAGGAGATTTTTCACTAAGAACACTGGGTTTTGACAGTTCTTTCCTTTCTTATGAGATCTGTTGCTCTGGGTATTTCAAACTCCTTGATTACTAGATTTAAAAATAAAAATCCACACACCTGGAGCATGTAATCTTATCAGAGAGCATACATTTACACAAAGCTGCTCACATAAACTAGTGATCACTCAGGTAAGGATTTTACACAGTGAAAAAAGAGGCACTACATGATCAGAGGGTAGCTCAAGATTATACTGCAATATCATGAAGCACTGAACTTTTGGGAGGGGAGGGAGCACACCCAGAATGCTTGGAGGATCATGCAGTGCCAAGGATTGAATCTGGGGCCCCCTCATACAAAGCATGCACTCCAGCACTTTGAGCCATCTCCCTGGCCGACATTGAACTTTTATAAAGTCTAAATATAATTATAGTATCCCCTGCAATTTATTTATATATAAATACTTCTTTTTAAGTAATATGTAGAATCAGAATGAGTTTTCCAGTCTGATTTAATCCCTGAGCAGCTATATTACAAATAGGTTTTGAAAAAGCCAAATAAAAAAAAACTATATTAAAACTCTATAGAATGTTATAGTGATAAATATATTTCTGTTCAGAAGCATTAAAACTATTTAGAAGCTATTTACTTGGATCGGTTAGATACCCCTTATTCTTCACTTTTGCTCAGAAAATACACATTTCCATAAACTTGCTACTTAAGCTGGATATGTATTATTCCAAGTTTTATTTTACTGAGAACACCCTAGAAAATTTGCTGATGAACATCATGTTCTTTCTCAATTTTTTACCAATTATCACTTCTCAATTTTACCAATGTAACAAATATTTTATTAAAAGTACAATATTTACTTTCACCATGTCGGTCTAATGTTCCTAGGCTCCCATTAAATGAGAAAAGTACACCTGAAATTTCAAAAAAAAAAAACCTTTTCAGAAAGAAAAGTGGTATTACAAAGTCAATCTGAGGAAGACCCAGATAAATTCTAAAAATTCACTAAGACAGGGCGTTCGCCTTACAAGCGGCCAACATGGCCGACCCGAGTTCGATTCCTCCGCCCCTCTCGGAGAGCCCGGCAAGCTACCGAGAGTATTCGATATGCCAGACACAGTAACAACAAAGTCTCCAATGGAGACGTTACTGGGCCTGCTCGAGCAAATCGACGATCAACGGGAGGGCCTTTACCTTTTACCTTAACAGAAACAAAGCACAAATGTTCATTCACTGAACACCGGTTAAGAGTTTGTATACTCAGGGACTGGAGTTACAGTAGAGCAAGTAGGGCACTTGTCTTGTACACGGCCAACCTAGGTTTGATCCCTGGTACTACATATGGTCCCTCGAGCCTACCAGGAGTGACCCCTGAGTGCAGAGTCAGGAATATACCCTGGGCATCACCAGGTGTAGACCAAGAGCAAAGTCCATGTCAGATTTGATATGCAGATCAGAAAGATGAGACCTGGATCCAGGATACTCCAGTCAGCTATGACCTCAAGAAGTACTCACTGAACCTCCAGTAAAATTAGCATCTTCTACCTTTAGAAGAGTCTTTTGTATTTGGGGGCAGAGATAGTAGAGGGGTTTAGGCTTTGTATGTGGTCAATCTAGTAACAGAACCCCATATGGCCACCCAAGAACCATCAGATGATCACTGAGTACAGAGCCAGGAGTAAGTCCTGAACACAGTCATGTGGCCCCAAGACAGCAACAACAAAATCACATCATTTATTTTGTAAGTAATAAACCAACTATTGCACATATACATTTAGTCCAATCAAACAAAATAAATGTACCTGATTTTGGCTTCTTTTGGGGCGAAACATTCTCTAGGGATATATTCTGGTAATAGTCAAGAAAATACTTTGTGGGGTGTGTTTTCTCAAAATGTGAGAAGAGAAAAACACTCTAGATAAGCTCTACATCCCTCTGAGAAATGTCATGTCTGAGGGCTGGAGAGAAGTAACTGGCCCAGGAAGCTACAACCAGGTTGCCCTCCAACTCCCAATGAAGGGGAAAAAGGATCATAGTAAAGAAATAAGATGCAAGAATAGTAAGCAGATACAGTGGGTGGAGGAGATAATGCTATCTTGGTTCTCACTGACCATTTGCCTCTCTCCTCAGCAACCCTAACCAGAGGTCATGCCGAAGAGGAATGATGGCTAATGGCTGAAAATGAGCCAAGGTGTGAGTCCTTATTTTAGAAAGAAAAATGGGAACTAGGTATACTGGAAGCCAATACATCACAAGGAAAGTTTCCTGAGTCTTCACTTGATACGATTCAGAAGATACAAATCAACCTTCACAAAGAGAAGATTCCATGTCTCCTGGAAACATGGGTAGAGGAGTGTGCTACATACAGAAGCACTGAGGATAGAGAGCCCGAGCCCAGAAATCTTTAGGAGAGTGCCTTTATTGGCCTCTGCTTGGAAGTGGCAAGAGAGTACACATGCTGGAAATGAGGTCTAGTAGGGACAACTAGCCCACGAGGTATGAAACTACAGCACGTTCCTCCCAAAACTTCCATAGCAATTTCTCAAGTTTGCAGTTTTAAAAATATACAGATAGACATTAAAATTGATAAAAGGACACTATCTGAGCCCTGCAAACTCTTAGGGTCCCCTTTAAAAAATTTCCCCATCTTTAAGAATCCAAAGGGGAGTTTGCTATACTCAATTCACATCATGGAAAAAGCTAAATATCAAGAATAAAGGTTCATGATTCACTGTGTTTTGATCTTGAATCAGGTACAGTTCTGGGTACTTTCCATTAGGTTTCTCTGAACTTGGTCATCCCAACCTTTTAATTATATTATCCCATTAGGCAGAGGTGAAACTGAGATTCAGACGTTAACTAAATCATCCAAAATCACCCAATAAGAACCCAAAACAATGCTTTGTTGGTTTCAGTTTTTGAGAGGCCACAAAAGACACTGCTCAGGGGCAATTCCACACTCAGGGGGAGCTCCCAATGGTGCTTGAGGCATTATATGGCGTCAGGGACCTTCGGAGTATGCATAGCATGCACTCCAGCCCACTGGGCTGATCTCTCCAACCCCCAAAAAGCAAGATTTTAGGTTTCCAAGGTATAAATGCTCTAAGTCTACACAATTGTATTAGGAATTCATAATTCAGTCTCACTTCTCTAGCTGTCAAGCTGAAATGTACTACAAGAACAACTGCGGTCTTAGTGCACAGACACCCACAGTTCTGGCAGCCTGTAGGGTGGCTCAGTTTCTGGCAGTCCTCAACTTTTTCCTGAAGTACTCAGGGGCAGCCTCGTACAGCCACTCAGTGTCCACAACACAGAGGTCTCGCATGTAGCATTTGTTGGTGTAGAGCAGCTCAGTATACACAACGCAGGCTGGCTTGCAGTGGAAAAGGACAGACGAGGGGTGAATGGCCACAGGCTGGTGGGTGTCCGTGGTGGCATAGGTGCCATCCGGCTGAAGCTCGGCAGTGTTCATGAAGAGACTATGAGCAAGGCAGCGGCGAATGTTCTCTGTGTCTCCCCGGGATGACATGATTGGCATTGACATCTGTTTCAGGAGGAAAGCAAGAAACAGAAAATAACCGAGTCATAAACACTGCTCTGCACTACACTGTATTTGGAACAACTGTACCTAAAAGCTATCACGGACTGCAAGTCCAAAAGTGGATATTGATACTCAGAGGTATACTCAAAAGCCTTAGGGATTAGCATGAGCAGAGTAAGAGGCACTTTCAGTTTAAGAAGGATAACTGAAAATAGGCAGAGAAAAGCCAGGGCAAGAAAGGAACAGAAAGGAGTCCATCATATCAGCTGTTAGACCTCAAATAAGTTGAGTGACCTGGCATCTTACCATCTAATCCGAATATTCACCCTCCCAGTAAAGAAGGCCTTTCTTTCTCACTATATGTTTCATCTTCCCTTCACCTCCAATTCATCTCACACACTGGTGCCGAATTAATCTTCCTAAGCACAACTCCAGTCATTCTTCATCCACCCAAACACCTTTACAGGGCTACGAGATGGCCTAATAGCTCAAAGAACCAGCCTTGCAAGTGTGAGGCCTTGAGTTCAATCTCCAGTGCTGAGTGCAATCCTGGCAGCTCCACTGTTTCTGCCTTTCAGCTCTGCTGCCTGGTAACCCATACAAGCCATTTCCAGTTGCACCACAGACAGGTGTGTATGAACACAACTAAAAAGTGTATGAACACAACTAAAAAGTGCTGATCCCTGGCGAAGTCAGTAAATGTTAGAGCACAACAACTCTGATCATGGCAATGAAAGTATCAATAGAAGGAAGGGAAAGGGGGAAATGCTTCACTGTCTCTACTGACCCTAACCAAACAATGTAAGCATCAAACTGTTCAGCAGTGAATGGCCCTCCTGACCATCTTAGAGTCCTCCAAAATAGACTGACTTCTCTTCTCTGGCCTGTGCCAGAACCCTGACTTTGGCTGTGTCCTCCTAGAAAAACTAACACCCTCAGCAATGGAGTAGATAAATTTGCCATCAGTCACTTCCCCTAATGCTTGAAGTACCCTTGCTGCGACAGTCCTGCCACAGCCAAGCAGATGGGGAAAGATACCTGCTTGACTCATGCTGGGCCAGTTCCTCTCTTCTGGCCAACACAGGAAGTCTTACCAATCTCAGTCAGTCTCTTGGGTCGGTGGGAAGTCAGAAAATAGGCTTGCATGCTGAAGCAGAAGATGAAAAGAGAAGAAAGCGAGAGCCGCATGTCCTTCTCTCCCGGAAGAGAGAGAAGGGAAGGGAGCGTAACATGACACTTGCCATAACCATGCGCTGGACCCCATGGCAGGCTGTTACATTTGGGGTGACCCGGAGGGGGGAGGTTGAGACCCCTCCCCGTCCCAAGGAACCCAGCCCTGGTAGCCGAAAATCTCCGGAACTCAACTGTCACCATGCTCACGGCCACTCTTCACATGCTTGGGCCAAGCCTCACCCACGAATGAACCTATTCTTGGACACTTCATACTACACACCATCCGTACTCCCAAGAGTACACACCACATTTGATGGGGTTCAAAGTAGGAGGCAACCAATCTTAGAGGGAAATATGCGCACACAAGGATCAACCTTTAACAACATGTTAGTGATCTCTTATAGAAGGGCTTAATGACCCCTGGGTGAAATACAACAATCTTCACACTCTTTCCTCTAAGGAAACTTTTTTGTAGCATTTTTAGTGGTTTTTCATAACAAACAATACAAAATATATTATTTTAGCTATGCTTTGGGGCAGGGGTTAGTGTTCAGGATGGAAACATCTAAAATATGGTGGTGGGAAGGTGTAATGGTGGTGAGATTGGTGTTTGATTATTAAATGTAATCAAATATTGTGAGCTACTTTATAAAATAAAAATACATGCATACATAATAAATACATGCATATATACATACACACACCACCATGATGAAATAAATAAATGAGTGAGGGAGAACTGTGGGCAAATATTTCATATTTTAAATTTTTTCTATAATGAGTTTTTTTGTCATTCTAAGCAGTAGTAATTTAAATTTTTTCACCTAAGAGATAGTACAGTGCACATATATATAATATATAATATATATTTCATATATATATTATATATAGATAAACAAAACAAACACTGTCCTCCCGTTGTTCATCGATTTGCTTGAGCGGGCCCAGTAACGTCTCCATTTTGAGTCTTAATGTTACTGTGTTTGACATATTAAATATGTACACACAGTGCATATAGACAGTACAGGCTTGCCATGCATACAACCAACCTGGGTTTGATTCCTGGACCCCATATGGCTCCCCCAATCCCAAACAGGAGTGATTCCTGAGTGCAGGCCAGGATAAGTCCTGCACTGCCAGGTTTGGCCCCAAAACAAAACAAAATTCACCTAGAAAAACACGGCAGTTTAGTCCCTTCCCAAAGAATCAGAGAAGAATTACCTTTAGGCAGATGTCCCTCAACTGTGCTCTGACTTCAGCTACTAGCATCATATTCTTGCTGTTGACAAAATTCTCTTTGCACCAATCCTAATTAAGAAGAACAAAAGAGAGCATCACTGAAGAGAGAGCTGAAAGAGCTGAAAGGCTGAAGCACCGGCTTTGTATGCAAAAGGTCTGGATTCAATTCCTGCAATTCCTGCACCATATGGTCCTCTGAACACCTTTGGAACAGAGCCCAGGAACAAGCACTACCAGACATGGCCAGATCTTCTCCCCACTCACAAAGAAGCAATACAATCCTTTCATTACCACCAAAAAAAAAATAAAAATAACAATTTCTATAGTGAGTTTTTTGGTCATTCTAAACAGTAGTAATTTAAATTTTTAAATTAATTAATTTTTAAATCAAAGTAAGTTTGACTTCAGAAGGAAAACTTCAGTTGCCAAAAAGAAGAATATGCTTAAAAAATCATAAACTAATAATTTAAGCTAGTGTTTTCTTATCACCTTACTACTCCAATTTCCTTACCTCATCCTTGAAAAAAAAGCTACAGAGTAGGATATCTGAACCATTACACCCAGTAAGAGTCTTCCCCAAGGGCCAGAGAATCGGAACAGGGATCAAGGTGTTTGCCTTGCATGTTGCCATTGCAGATTCAATCCCTGGCACCACTTGGTCGATCCCCAGCACTTTGGGAGCACTTCCCAGTAGAGTCATAGACTACCCCATGAGCATTTGCTGCCTGTGGTCCCCAAAACAAAAACTAAAATGAGTATCTCCATAATATAAAAAATAGCACTTTAGGGCTAAGGAGATAACCCAAACACGCTTCACATCCGTGAGGCCCCAAGTTTGATCCCTGCATAGTTCTCTGAGCATCATCAACTGTGGCCCTGGAGGCCCCTGAGCATTCTGAACCCAAGCACCATAACGCTGGCCCAAGTACCAAACCTTTAGTCCAGCACCACTGAACTGACCACTGTAAGGAATAACTCCCAAAAGAAAAAAAAAATCCAGCTATTAATCTCTGAGAAAAACCAATAATCTAGGGGGGAGGAAAAGACAAAGAACATGGACAACTCATAAAGGTAACTACAAATGACCAATATACTATATAAAAACTCTTTAGGAGGACTGCAGAGGTAGTACAGAAGATAAGGCATTTGCCTTGCACGTAGCTGACCTCAGTTTGATCTCACACTGCATATGGGATCTCAAGCACTGCCAGGACAAGTCCCTGAACACAGAGTCAGGAATAAGCCCTGAGCACAGCCAGGCATAGCCTTCTCCCCCATGAAAGATGCTTAAGGAATCATGGCAATACAATTTATTTTTTAGAGGATTCGCTTTTATTTTTTATATTTAATTCTTAAATTCCCCCCTCCCCCAATTGTTTAGCTGATTTTATTCATGTTCATGATGACAAAGGGTAGCACATACCTGGCTATGTGCTCACATATACTTATCAGTGGTGCCTGCTGAGGGTCACACATCAGGTGCTGGTGTCTGAACACTTGGCCACAGTGGTCACTCAACAAGGTCTATAATCCTTTAGCTGCAGTGCTTGCACATGTGCTTAGCCATTTTTACTGAAGCACACAAATTATGGCTGTGGTGCTCACAAATATGTTTACCAAGGGTCACACAGAAGGGTATGGAGGAATAGTACATCAGGTAAGGGTGCTTGCCTTGCATGTAATCGACACGGGTTCAATTCTCAGCACCATGCAGCCAATCCAGGTTCGATCCCTGGCTTCCCATACAGTCCTCTAAGCACTACCAGAAGCAATTCCTGAGTTCAGAGTCAGAAGTAAACCCTGAGGATTACTGGATATACCCCCGTGCCAAGGGAAAAAAAAAAAGTAATAAATCTAAGTAAACAAAGCAAAATGCTCACAGCTACTAAAAGTGGTACTGACTTTTCTAAAGAACTGACTGCCCAATGGGGCTGGAGCTAATAGTACAGCAGGTAGGGCATTTGCCTTGCACGCAGCCCAACCCGGGTTTGAGTCCCAGCATCCCATATAGTCCCCTGAGTTAATTCCTGAGTGCCTGAGCCAGGAGTAACCCCTGAGCATCGCCAGGTGTGACCCAAAAAAAGCAAAAAAGAAAAAAAAAAGAAAAAAAGAATTGACTGCCCAAAAAAGGGAAAGCTGGGGCACAGAAGAGAGAGTGCAAGGGGGAGGCGTTGTCTTACATAGGACTGATCCAGGGCTGATCCCTAGCATCCCATGTAGTTGCCAGAGCACCATCAGGAGTGATTCCTGAGCACAGAGCCGAGTAACCGCTGAAGACTGCCAGTTGTGCCCCCCCCCACCCAAACAAAACAAACAAAATCGACTGCATTAGAATGCAAACAAAGGATACACTCTATGGCATACAATTATTGGCTTATTAATAATACTGCCACTTTTCATCTTAGTTCAAGGAAATGAAATACCATAGTGGGCAAAAACTACTACAAAGAGGGGAAAAATTAGGGACAAGTGTGCTGAGTTTTTGTAGCTAACAAACTGTGGGGTAGGGAGAAAGTCATTTTGTAGTTAAGACATTGGGTCACCAAATACTTACTTTCCTCAGACAGTTCCCATGCTAAAGACATTTCTGAAATGAAATTAGGTATTTTCTTTTATTTCTTAAAGAATTCCGTCACAAAGGTGCATTCCTATTACATGCCCAGGAGTTTATCATTTGAGGAAAGTTTTACCTTATTCCCGCCTATGTTTTTGAAGGTTCGGTAGATGTTGAGCAAGGTGATATGATCCCCCTCACTAGATATGAACTTCTTCCGGACACTCTGTACTTCATCCCGCCGGGAGGGAGGGTTGTAGAGTACACTGTCCACAGACAGCAGGGACACAATGGTCAGTATCTCCTCTGTACAGTGAAATTTGGGGGACAGGAGAATAGTCTGCAAGTCAAAAATTTACAACCCTGTAAGCCAAAATTTTTCTTAGTTTCTGAATGCTGCATTTATATTGTTCTTGCAACTTCCTATCTAAGGAGTTAAAAGGTAGGTGTTTCTAAAACCCTACGTATGTTACTGTGACTTTATTTTTTTGTACAAGAGATGGCTACAGGATTCTACATTCCTTTTGGGTTGGGCTCACTACTTAATGAGTTTGAATCCCACAAAGTATTAGATACAAAGTATGGTTATAACATAAGAGAAGTGAAGATTATCTAGAAGCATTGGGTTCACAAATCTATGCTGGGATTGCTAATCTGTAACATAGATAAAGGAGACTGAGGGGAGGGTATCATTTACTTTGGCAAATCTGGGTTCTAAGGGAAAAGCCGCCATCTTTCTTCCAACTGCAGTCAGGGTAAGCTGCTCATCCTTACGTTCAAGAGCACCTAACAGGTCCAACTGGGCAATAGCTGCCTGTACGTGATCTGAAAAATAAATAAATAAGAAACAAAAGAAGGAGCCAAAATACAAAACAGAAGTCACAATTAATTCATTACTTTAGGAGGGTTCCTTATATGTCAATATCAAGCAACAGCAACGACTAAAACCACCCTTCTCCCGTGAAAATGCTTGCAAAGTTGTTAATTTTATCAATGTATTCTGTGCAGTTCCTTTTATTTATTTGGGGGGTCGGGGTAGGGGATCATGTAAGTAGTGCCCAAGGAGCCTGGGGATCACTCCCAGAATTCCTGGGCCCACTGTCCTGATAGCTGACTGCTTGGGCCCAGCAGTGTTGAGAGCCACCAGGGCCAAACCCGTCAGTGCTCCACAGCCAGGAGGTGCTGGGGATGCAATTTGGGCCTCAGTTACTCAACCTTTTTGGATATTTCCCCAACCCTCACTTCCCATTTGAAACAATGACCTATAATTTGGGAAAACGTAAGTGAATTTTAAACCCAATAATGTTATATTTATGAATTTCACAGGCACATGCATACATACAACAATGGCAAAATCTGGTGTCTCACAGGCACCTGGTAAAAGGTAAAGGTAAAGGTAAAGGCCCTCCCGTTGATCGTCGATTTTGCTCGAGCGGGCCCAGTAACGTCTCCATTGGAGACTTTGTTGTTACTGTGTCTGGCATATCGAATACTCTCAGTAGCTTGCTGGGCTCTTCGAGAGGGGCGGAGGAATTGAACTCGGGTCGGCCATGTTGGCCGCTTGTAAGGCAAATGCCCTACCCGCTGTGCTATCGCTCCAGCCCAGGCACCTGGTGAGAAGGTATTTTTCCTCCCCATACTTTTTGAATTTTTGAAACACGTAAATGCATTACCTAACTAATGGATAAAAAAGCATTTCTAAGGGTAAGGTAAAGGTAAAGGTAAAGGCCCTCCCGTTGATCGTCGATTTGCTCAAGCGGGCCCAGTAACGTCTCCATTGGAGACTTTGTTGTTACTGTGTCTGGCATATCGAATACTCTCGGTAGCTTGCCGGGCTCTCCGAGAGGGGCGGAGGAATCGAACTCGGGTCGGCCATGTTGGCCGCTTGTAAGGCGAACGCCCTACCCGCTGTGCTATCGCTCCAGCCCAAGGGTAAAATAAATAAATATATACATACTGAAAGGAAATGATCTGTAAAATAACAAGTGAAAATATTCAAATGTCTATAACAGATACACATTTTTTTTTTGGCTTTTTGGGTCACACCCAGCGATGCTCAGAGGTTACTCCTGGCTCTGCACTCAGGAATTACTCCTGGTGGTGTTCGGGGGACCACATGGGATGCTGGGAATCGAACCCAGGTTGGCCGCATGCAAGGCAAATGCCCTACCTGCTGTGCTAATGCTCCAGCCCCGTATAACAGATATACATTTTGATTTAAAGATTAGAATAGCATTTAACAGTGAAAACTGCATCAACACAAACAAACCTTAGAAGACATGATGAAGGTTCAAGAGATAGTTTGCCTTGCGCACAGTTGATCTGAGTTCCATCCCCAGAACCATGTATGGTTCCATGAGCACTACCTGGGCACACATGCTCCAAGCACAGTCAGGTATGGCCCACCCTCCCTGCCCCCCGCCCCGCCAAAAAAGAAGAAAACATGACGGAAGAAAAGGTTACTGAAGAACTGAGAAAAGATGCAAAGTAAAATAACAGATAACTTAGGAATACATAGGCAATGAATGAAACATTAAAGAAAATTGAAAGATTAACAAAATGTGGAGGGTACAAACCAGAGGACAGTTGGAAGTCAAGGCTGTTTTCACTACTGTGATGTATGTGTGTGTGTTGAGTGTGTGTGTGTGTGTGTGTGTGTGTGTGTGTTGCAAACCAAAGGGCAGTTAGAAGGTATATGGATGGGGGGTGGGGGGGAGCAGATGGGGATATTTTTTCCCCTTTGTAAGTGAAGGAAATAATCAAGTATAGAAGGAGCCAGAATGGCAGTACAGGGAGTAGGGAACTTGCCTTGCACACAGATGACCCAAGCTTAATGCCTGGCACCTCATATGGTCCCCCAAGTCTACCAGGAGTGATCTCTAAGTGCAGAGCCAGGAATAAGCCATGACCACAGCTGCATATGCTCCCTCCACCAAAATAAATAAATAGAACCCTAATTCTTTTTCCTTCCTACATAAGAGATATTGTAAGTGAAGCACAGAAACCAATCATACTCCACCCCAAAAGAAAGAAATGTGGTCTTTTCATCTTTTACTAGAAAATGTAAAATTTTGTTAAGCTTATTGTGTATAGAATCCTATAGGTCCTCTCAACTTCTACCATCTTCATTGTCTCCAGTGGTCAAGGAACCCAATTATGAGACTCTTCTATAGAGTCCATTTCTACAGGGCATGGTGCTGATAACAGAATTTATCCTTTTATAATGGCCACAGTGGTAACATGACATGCAAGGCACTCGCCCTGCATGTGGCTGACCCAGACTTGAATCCCGGCCTCCCGTATGGCTTCGTCAGGAGGTGGTCCAAACCCAAAAATTTTAAGAACAGAATTCATCCTTCTATGATTCTGAGATGTTTCTGTAAAAAGCTCAAGTATCTCCCAATCAAAATTAAAAGAAAATTAATAATTTATTTTTTCTAAATGTCATATGCTGTTGTCTGTTTACTCACATGTCTTCCACAGCACTAAAGATTCCATTACCTGGAGAGGGTTTTGACATGAAGTCAAAGGTGAGGACATTTGGGACTTTCATTGCTAGGAGCTGCAACAGCACATTTGCTAGGTTACACCTACAAAGAGAGAAAGAAGCAAGTCATTCACCTGTCCCTGACACCCCATTAGTGATGCTGCTAAGCTCAAGGAAGAGATAAGCAAGCAGGAAAAGGAGATTCAGGGACAAATGCTAAGTGCATGCATGCAGCTTAGGCCTACCTTTGGATCTCTGGCACAGTCATCTTCTCAAACTTCTCAAACTCATCCTCTGTGTAGAGTCTGTAACAAATGCCACTCTGCTCTCTACCCGCTCGTCCTGTGCGTTGCCATGCTTGGGTTTTGGATACCCGCTGCACAGCTAACACCTCCAGACCACTATCTGGAAGGAGATTAGCCCACATTAACACTTTGCTCACCACCAAAACAAACCGTTTCTACAAAGTGGACAAAAAAAGCATTCCTTAGTATGCCAGTGATTCTTTCCACAAAATGATTCCAGAAAAACTCAAGGCTAAATGAGAAGTTCAAAACCAGACAGCTCTATAGTAAAACAAAGGCTTACAGTGAATACTGTGCGAGATGTTATTAAAAGCAGAACAATCTCCTGCCTATAGCATGGGGCCAGCAGAGTTGATCTCAGAGGCCATGGCTTAGATCATAGGGCAACAACCACTCCCCTTTTCCCAACACTGGGATGTTTCTTCAGAACTTTTTATGCTAAAATGAGAGTCAATAATCTAGGATGGATGGTCACCCTGTCAGTGACTTACAAATTCATTCCTGGTACACTATGCCTGCTCTAACTATTTAAAATAGAAATAACGTGTTGTTACTTCTAGGAACAAACGAGATTTTCTTGATAAAGGGGTATTCTGTGCCAGGAAATGAAGGACTAAGACTTTTCCATGTTTTATCACCAAGAGATACACAAGTCAAAGTCAACAATCCTGAGTGCTCAGGAGTGCATGTCAATTAAACATATCTTGGAGAATCAATTCAGCTGCCTCAGATAGTCTGTAGAATAAAGCAAGATACAAAACATGTATTTAAAGGACCTCTAGCAAGTCTCCCTCTGTAAATCCTCAGGAAACAGCATCTCACTCTCGTCTAGGGGACGTTTCTTTCATAAGTTACATGGGGGTTTGAGGCAATCATGCGTAAATATTTCTGACAAAGCCTTTAATGTGGTATCAGACGGAACCTTTCTTTAGAGTCAATATTCTCAATCAACTTTGAATGGTGAAAGACTCTCAGTTGTAAAGTTTACTCCCCTAGACTCTTTCCAGCTTGCCTCTTGGTCTCACATACCTGTCTCGGGTTATTTTTTTCTGAGCCTAACTTCTGAATTATCTCAGTATGGTGCCACTCTCCCAAAACTCAGTTGAAAACACGAAATGTTCATCTGGGGGAAACTAGAACTATAGGAAACTCAATGGTGCTCACTATACATACAAAAAAGACAATCATGAGCTACGAATTCTCACCAGGGTTATACTTCTTTGCTTTAACCATGCCAGTGTCAACTACATATTTTATTCCTGTAACGGTTATGGAAGTTTCAGCGATGTTAGTTGAAATGATGACTTTGCGATAGCCCTGAAAGGAGGAAGAAAACAAAAAACCCATATGATGCACATGATTCAAAAGTTTTAAAAACATATTCCGTACCATTAATTTCCACAATTAAAGAAAGATAATTGTGTGGGTTGGAGAGGATAGTACAACGGGTATGGCACTTGCCTTTCACTTCAGTCCCCTACGTCCCATGCGGTTCTCCAAGTCCTGCCAGGAGTGATCCCTGAGCACTGCCAGACATGGTCCCCCCAAAATAAGTAATCAGGGGCTGCATGGGATCCTGGAGATCAAACCCAGGTCAGATGCAAAAGCAAACGCCTACCCGACTGTACCACGGCTCTGGACCCAGATGGTTGGTCTTTAAAGTGAGTGAGGTGGGGTAGAGAACATGGGAAAAAGGCTGTGTGTGTGTGTGTGTGTGTGTGTGTGTGTGTGTGTGTGTGGTGCCAGGGATCAAACCCTGAGCCTCTCACGTGCAATGCAAGTGTGAGACAAGTGTGCTCTACTACTGAGCTACTTCCCATTTAGTATTAAACTTTCTCTCAAGACAATGGGATATAGAATAGGGACAAGATTTAGGGACAGAAGTGGGTTAGAGTTCTGGTCCTGTCTGTTACTTACTATATTACCCTTGAGCAACAGTTACTTTACTTTTTAGGGCACTAACATTTACAAAATAAAACCAGCACCTTCCTTGCCAATTCTTAAGGAGAGACAGCACATAGTAAGAGTTACTGCGTAGTGCCTGGCACAGCAAGGATACCCACTAATTGGTAGTATTGCCAAATGTGGCTTATTTACATAAAACCTTAGAAATATTATTTACCTGTCAGCTTTTGCACTTTACTCTCCATCTTCCCCAACCACCATTTACCTATTCTTACTATGGGAGGTTTATTTGTAGCTACACATAATATTTCAGCAGTTTTTTTCAGTCAGTGCATCTGGTAATTGAGCACTCTGTCCCATACACATTATATGGAGTCCAGAAACGGGCATGTCAAGTGCCACTGATAGGTCCTTTGAGGTTCCCAGGGACAGAGATGGACAGGCAAGCTGCTGCACACACCTTTGGGGCCACCTGAAAGACACGGAGCTGTTGTGCATAGGGCAGGGAAGCATAGAGAGGCAGGACCAGCATTGAGGGGCAGCCATCTGGCAGGTGCTTTGCAATGTCCCGGCAGGTCTTGCTCATTGCTTCTATCTCCTCCTGACCAGTAAGGAACACCAGGATGTCCTGAGAAGAAGGAGCTTCCTATAAAAATGGTAAAGTGTGATGAGCGAAAGTTGACAGGTTTTACAGAACAAAACAATGGTCACTGATGATTTCCCAATGTTCTTTTTCTTTCTTTCCTTTTTTTTTTTTTTGGAGGGGTTAGGGAATTGGGGCAGTAGTATTACTCAGGGGACTTGGGAACCATCCTTACACAGTGCTCTGGGGTCACTCCCAGTGACCGGTTTGGGCTACACCAGGTAGTACTCAGGGCTACTTCTGGTTTGGTATGGCAGAGTTGTGCCCAGCTGTGCTCTCCAGAGACTATACAGTGCCAGGGACTGAACCCAGGCCTCCTGCAAGTAAAGCATATACTTTAAAGACAGACCTCTGAGCTATCTCCCTGGCTCCCAGAGTTATTTTCTTTACCTGCTAAGTGCAGAGATGCACATGCACCTAACTACTGTCACCTTTGGAAGAATACCCTTATCAATAATACTAACATACAGCTTACCTGAGTTACTCAATATGGTATATTATTACTACTTATGATTTTTGTGTGTGACTAAGGTACAGGGAATTGAATCCAGGTCTCCCACATGCAAAAACCATGTACTCACCCACTGAACTCTCTCTCCGGCTCTAGTGAGCTATATTAACTTTTTTTTTTTTATTTTGCTTTTGGGATAAACCAAGTAGTACTCAGGACTTATTCCAGGCTGTATGCTGAGAAATCATTTCTGGCAGGGCTTGGAGGACCATACGGGGTACAAGGGATCAAACCTGGTCAGTCACAAGGAAGGCAAGGACCCTACCCACTGCACTGTATCAGTCCCAAGTCAACTACCAACCCTAAACAATTACGGGTTAGAGAAAAAGTATAGAGGCTAAAGTTCTTGCCTTGCATGTGACAATCCTAGTTAGATGCCCAGCACCACTTATGGTCCCCCAAGTACCTATAGAAGTAATCATACAGAACCAGGAGTTAAACCCAGAGAAACTCCAGATATAAGCCAAGCCCTCTCCAAATAATAAAGTAAAAACGGGCTGGAGTGATAGTACAGGGGGTGGGGCGTTTGGCTTGCACACGACCTACCTGGGTTCAATCCCCAGCATCGTATATGGTCCCCCAAGCACTGCCAGAAATAATTCCTGAGTGCAAAGATATCAGTAACCCCTGACCATTGCTGGGTGTGACCCAAGAATGAATAAATAAATAGCAATTAAACAGAGTCGGGGAGATCCCTCAAAGGGTTAGAACACATGCTTTGCATGCAGATGCCTGCCTTTAATCCTCAGCACAAGCATGGCTCCTTGAGCACCACTACGAGTGACCCCAGAGTATAGAGAGTAAACCCTAAATATTGCTACTGCCCCAAACAAACAAAGGGTCAGAGAGGTGGCTCATGTAATAGATCAAAAGTCTTGCATGTATGAGACACGAGGTTCAATCCTTAGCACTGTATGTCCCCTGGGTGAGTTCCCAAAACAATAATATAAATATCAATTAAGAAAATTTTGTTTGTTCATCTGTTTTTGGATGACTCCAGTTGGTGTGCTCATTCTAGGTGGTGTTCAGTGGACTATGCAGTGCCAAGAATTGAAGCTGAGCCTTCTGCATGAAAATATATGCTCAGTCTATTGAGTTACCTCTCTGGCCTCGACTACAAAAATTTTGAAGGAAATTTTTTAACAACTTTTTTTTTTTGCTTTTTTGGGTCACACCCAGCGATGCACAGGGGTTACTCCTGGCTCTGCACTCAGGAATCACTCCTGGTGGTTCTCAGGGGACCATATGGGATGCTGGGATGCTGATGTTGCTCCAGCCCCAGCACAACGGTAGGGCGTTTGCCTTGCATGCAGCCTGCCCGGCAGAGCTGGGTTCGATTCCTCCGCCCCTGATGGAGAGCCCGGCAAGCTACCGAGAGTATTCGATATGCCAGACACAGTAACAACAAAGTCTCCAATGGAGACGTTACTGGGCCAGCTCGAGCAAATCGTTTACTTTACTTACTTTACAAGAAAATATAAAAAACACAACCAGGAATACAAAAATATCTGCACAGAGCTTCTTTTTTTATAATTTCAAATTATGAAAACTTTTTCATAATTTCAATTTAGAGTTTCTAATTTCATAATTATCTTGAAAGATAAAGCTGCTGTAACAAGACAACTTAGATGGGGCTGGAGGGATAGGACAGCAAGAAGTGTATCTGCCTTGCAGGTAGCTAACCCAGATTCTATTCCGAGCATCCCAGATATGGCCCAAAATGAGGAACGACTTGAAGAAATCCTGATTCACAGAAATAGCTAGAGATCATCGTACAGGTAAAGGAGATCATATTAAATGATGCATTCAAAAGGATTTTCAGGCTAGATAGTACAATGTGTAGGATGCTTGCCTTTCATGTGTATGCCCTGCATATAACTCAAGTTCAATCCTTGGCATTCCAATGGCCCCCTAAGCTCCACCAAAAGTAATTAATCCTGAGCACAGAGCCAGAAGTAAACCCTAAGCACCACCCCACCACATACTTTCATGTGCAAAAAAATACATGTGGTTAGAGTATTTGAGACTCAGAGATTAAATGAATTCTTCATTTTACAAGAGATAGCAGCAAGCAGTGACAGTGAACTAGAAGACCCCTACTTGGCTAAAGTGCCCTAATGAGCACCTAGGCAAGAGGGAACTCCCACAGTTTTAGAAGTGCAATGGAAGTAGAACTGTAACCCAGTTGGTAGAATGAAACATCTAATCACTTAATCACTTAATCCCCGTTATTCATCGATTTATTCGAGCGGGTGCCAGTAACGTCTCCATTCATCCCGGTTGCGTGCTAGCGTAGCCCAATGGTATCTGTTCGTTTTAGGAATATGTAGAGCCTCAAACCGATCATTTAGGGTCTTGACGAAGAAGTCTGACCATCTTATAGGTGGGCGTCCACGTGATCTTTTGATGTCTCGTGGAATCCAATCAGTAATGGCTCTAGTCCAGCGGTTGTCTGTAAACCTCATTACGTGTCCAGCCCATCTGATTTTTGATGTCTTGGCAAATGGGACAGCGTCCCTGATTCTTGAGCGTTGACGAAGATCAGAACTCCGGATTCTATCTCTCATTTGAGTGAATCGTGATATTCCAAGCATAGTTCTTTCGATTCCTCTTTGAGAGACACGAATAGTGTTCTCATCCTGTTTTCGTAGGGTCCAGGTCTCTGAGGCATATGTTAATGCAGGAAGAATAGTGGAATCAAAGAGATGTGCTCGTAGCTGGAGGTTCTTTGTCCTTTTAGTTATTTCTTCAATGCTCTTGAAGGCATTCCAAGCCGCTCTCTTCCTCCTGCGCAACTCAGGTGCCAGGTCATTCATCATGTTGATTTCTCGACCTAGGTATATATAACTGTTGCATTCGGAGATGGTGGTTCCGTTGAGAGCGAATGGAGCGTCAGGAACAAGGCTGTTTCTCATAAACATTGTCTTCGCAAGATTCAGCTGTAGTCCGACCTTTCCACATTCACGGTCAAAGTCGTTCAGCATTTGTGCTGCTTGGTTGATGTTTGGTGTTATTAGAACGATGTCATCAGCAAAGCGGAGGTGGTGTAGTTGCCGACCATCTATCTTCACTCCCATGTTTTCCCATTCCAGTCGTCGCATGATGTTCTCGAGGGTGGCACTGAAGAGTTTTGGTGAAATGATATCACCCTGCCGAACCCCTCTCTTGATATGGATGATTACTTCTTTGTAGAATGGTGAGATCTTGGTAGTGAATCCGCAATAGAGCTCACGAAGGATCCTGATGTATTGAGTTTGTACGTCCTGATTGGCTAGGGCTTCTATGACCGCTTCCGTCTCAACAGAATCAAAGGCCTTCTTTAAATCAATGAACGTTAGACAGAGTGGCATCTTGAACTCCCGAGATACCTCAATGAGCTTGGTTACTGTGTGGATATGGTCGATGGTACTGAATCCTTTTCGGAATCCAGCTTGTTCACATGGTTGTCCTTTATCTAGTGTTCTGCTAATTCTATTCAGGATGACTCGAGTGAATAGTTTGTAGATGATAGACAATAGGCAGATTGGGCGATAGTTGCCAATATCGTGGATGTCTCCTTTCTTGTATAATGTACAGTCTTGCTGGTTTTCCATTGGGATGGAACCATGCATTCAGACAGGTAGCGTGTGAAGAGTCGAGCCAATGTATTGATGAGTACTGATGGTAAGTTCTTCAGGTGTTCAGGTCTGATCTTGTCTGGGCCAGGTGCTCTTTGTTTCTTTACCGACGAGATGGCATGTTGGATTTCGGAAGGAAGAACATTGGGAACGACATATCCATCATGTGGTATGTGGTATGTGGGCAAGTGGATGTGGCTATTAAAGAGATCTGAGTAGAAGTCATGAATAATCTTCTCCATTGCCCTTCTGGAAGATGTGATAGATCCATCATGATGTCGGAGGGCAGTCATCTTGGTTTTGTAGTTGGTGAAGGACAGGCGGGCATTACGAATGTTTTTCCCAACTTCTGCTGCATCTACCAGTACTGCTGCTCTCCTGTTTTTGAGGTCATCCTTGATGGCTTCTCTGCACTGTTTTGCCAGTTCGTTCGCTTGTGGTTGCCTGAGGCACGTGCCAAGCCACGTTGTCGAATAAGTTCAAGAGTGTTCGAAGAAAGACGGTTTTTTGTGGTTATCTCTCTCTTGGCATTCCTTGCACAATCATGGAGGTGCTGAATCATTCGATCGTATTCCTCATCAATGTTGTCAATGACGGCATCTTCCCATGTTGCCGCAACAGAGCCAAAGAGTTCCCAGTTGGTGGTTGTTCTGGGAGTCCTCTTCTTAAACCTTGCATTCTTTTCTCCTCGTTCTGTGAGGTAGAATTTTGCACGAAGAAGACGGTGGTCTGATCCCATTTGGAATTTTGGGACAACAGCAACATCGGTTAGGCAAAACCGCCGATTGAATATGATGTGGTCTATTTCATTGTGGAACCGTCCATCGGGAGACTCCCATGTCCAACGTTTAGATTCAGCCTTTTGGAATTGTGAGTTACCATGGAAGGTTTTGGTTGACATGATGAACTCAGACAGTCTGTCACCCTGTTCGTTCCATTCCAGGCCATGGGTTCCGATGTGGAGTTCATCGACTGATCTTCTTGGTCCTATCTTGGCATTAAAATCACCGACAATGATCTTGTAGAAGGTGTGATCTTCTTTATAGAATTTCTCCAGCTCCATGTAGAATTTCTCAGTTTCTCTTTCACCATAACTGGATGTTGGTGCATAGACAACAAAGATAGAAACTGCCGGTAGTGAGCCACATTTATTCAAGTGTAATCGTCCGATTCGGGTTGTTAGGCATTCAAATGAATCAATGCTCGTGACTAAGTTTGTGTTGACAAGGATACCGACACCACTGACGCCTCTTTTATCCCATGTTCCAAGGAACAGTTCTTCTCCAGTGTCGAAAACAGCATGATGGAATTGATGTCTTCTCGTTTCGGTCAGACCAATGATGTCGTACTTGATCTTTCGTGCTTGTACCACAAGGTCTTCAATAGATGCAGCAGATGCCAGGGTACGAGCATTAAAAGTACAGACAATCATTTTTGTTTTTCTGCGTTTTGGTAGCCTATGTCTGCCTTGGTGTTTTATCAGCCTCTCCTTCCATATCCTTCTCGACTCTGCATATTCAGGGTTAGGGAAATGAGATCCATTTATTACTGGATTTGGCATATCAATTTGGTCTATTTGGCATAGACCACGGATAGCTTGCCAGGCTCTGCCGTGCGGGTTGGATATTTAAGGATATTTACGGTACCCTGAAAATTTAGAGAAAAGTAAATAAATAGTCGCACGGCCACAGGCCGCGCGCTCTCGGGAGCTTGTTGTGATAATCTCTGGATCCTGGCCTTTGTTGGGGTTACACGGCAGTTGGAGGGTGTAACTGTCTAGCTACTGACAGGTCCAGTCCCAAACCATGCAGGCTTGGAGATCTCAGCCCCAGGTCCCACACACCTGGGTTCCTCTGCCAGTTCTGTTATGTCTGAGGCTTATCCAAGTGTGTGGAGAGTGGCCCCAGTAAGGCCTTGGTTGGGGCCTGCAGGTCTTCAGCTGTTGGGCCCTGGCGAGGATAGTCAGACACAGGGTAGGAGACTCTGCCTTGTGCTCTCCCGGGAGCTTGTTGTGATAATCTCTGGATCCTGGCCTTTGTTGGGGTTACACGGCAGTTGGAGGGTGTAACTGTCTAGCTACTGACAGGTCCAGTCCCAAACCATGCAGGCTTGGAGATCTCAGCCCCGGGTCCCACACACCTGGGTTCCTCTGCCAGTTCTGTTATGTCTGAGGCTTATCCAAGTGTGTGGAGAGTGGCCCCAGTAAGGCCTTGGTTGGGGCCTGCAGGTCTTCAGCTGTTGGGCCCTGGCGAGGATAGTCAGACACAGGGTAGGAGACTCTGCCTTGTGCTCTCCCGGGAGCTTGTTGTGATAATCTCTGGATCCTGGCCTTTGTTGGGGTTACACGGCAGTTGGAGGGTGTAACTGTCTAGCTATTGACAGGTCCAGTCCCAAACCGTGCAGGCTTGGAGATCTCAGCCCCGGGTCCCACATCTAATACCATCAAAAAATGGGGAGAAGAAATGAACAGAAGCTTCCTCAAAGAAGAAATTCAAATGGCCAAAAGGCACATGAAAAAATGCTCTTCACTGCTGATCATCAGTGAGATGCAAATCGAAACAAGATATCATCTCATACCACAGAGACTGGCACATATCCAAAAGAACAAGAACAACCAGTACTGGTGCGGATGTGTGGAGAAAGGGACTCTCACTCATTGCTGGTGGGAAAGCCGACTGGTCCAGCTTTTTAGAAAAACAGTATGAACATTCCTCAAAAACATTCCTCAAAAAAAAACTAAAAATTAAGTTCCCATTTGACCCAGAAATAACACTACTGGTAATATACCCTTGGGGACCAAAAACATACAGCAGGAACACCATCTGTACCTTTATGTTCATAGCAGCACTATTCATAATAGCCAGAATCTGGCTACTTTAGAGTGCCTGAGAACAGACAAATGGATAAAGAAACTATAGGACATCTACATAATAGAATACCATGCAGCTGTTAGGAAAAATGAAGTCATGAAATTTGCCTATAAATGGATGGACATGGAGAGTATCATGCTGAGTGAAATGAGTCAGAAGAAGAGGGACACATATAGAAAGACTGTATTTATTTGTGGTGGCATATAAAAAATATATAGTAGAAGACTAACATCCATGACCAGGGAAAATGGGCTAGGAGGACTGGTCAATGGTTAGAACGAACCACAAGTGTAGGTAAAGGGCAGAGCGTAGGTAAGATAGAGAAGTATGACAATGGTAGCTGTGAGTGATCACGCTGGACAAGAAGTGAGTGTTAAAAGTAGGCAAGGAGATATTCTTGATAACCTTTCAGTACCAATTTGCAAACCACAATGCCCAAAAGGAGAGGGAGAGAGGGAGAGAGGGAGAAGGAGAGAGAGGGAGAGAGAGGGAGAGGGAGAGGGAGAGGGGGAGAGGGAGAGAGAGAGAGAGAGAGAGAGAGAGAGTGAAAGAAGAAAAGTGCCTACCAAACAGGCAGGCTGGGGGATGGGGGGTGATGGGAGGGAATCTGGGGACACTGGTGCTGGGAAACATATACTGGTGGAGGGATGGGTGCTGGAACACTGTATGACTGAAACCTAACCCTCAACAGCTTTGTAAGGGTCGATCTCACAGCGATTCAATAAAAAGAAGTTTGAAAAGAAAAAAGAGATGGGTTCATTAGTGCAGTGCTCCTCAGGCCCGTGGTGTAAGGAGGCCATGCAAAATTAGGACTGAATTTGGGCTTTTATACTTGCAAAATATATAGCTGTACAGCTATATATGCATTGTGGGGCCGGGGAGATAATACAGTACATAAGGTGCTTGTCTTCCATGCAGCCAAGCCTGAGTTCCATCCTCAACATTCCATATGGTCCCCCAAGCCCGCCAGGAGGGGTCCCTGAGTGCAGAGTCAAGAGCCTATGACAACAGTCATAACCCCTTTTAAAAATTAAGTATGTATTACACTGGTTGCAACATAAAATGTGCTTCTTGAAGCTTAAGTGATAGTACAGAGAATAAGATGCTTGCCTTGAACCTGCCTGAGTTCAATCCCTGAAACTATATATGGTTCCTCAAACTCCGCCAGGATTGATCCCTGATTGCAGAGCCAGGAATAATCCCTCAGCACCATCAAATGCCCATTCCCCCCCCCCCCCCCCAAAAAAAACACCTGTGCTTCATTCTGGGTTTTACAGTTAAAAAACTACAAGTCATGCTATAACATACATAGGGGGCTTGTTTGGCTCCATTGAGGCTAGACAGGGTTCAACTATTTGTTTTTTCAGTGCCACACCTGTAATACTTGGGGGCTACTCCAGCTCAATGCTAGAGATGGGGGGCACTCCCAGAAGTGCTTAGGGGACCATGGAGTGCAAGTGATTCCACCTGAGATTGTAATACACGCATTCCAAACCTGTGAGTCATCCTCCTGTTTTTTTTTAGAGAAATAAGAGATATTGTAATTAAGGATTAAAAACGTGGGCATAGTTAATGAACTCATTATACCAAATATTGTAAAGAAAGAACTTACAAAGTCATTTCAGAGAGTAGCTTTTCTTTTCAGAGCTGAATATTCTACCCAACAGCAATGTAAAATTAACCTTTTCATGCATGCATTTGCACCCCATTCCATACCTGGTGGATCTGGAAGACTGAAACAAGTGCAGCGTGCAGATAATCATGCTGAGGTTGTTTTGTGTAAAAAATCTGGATTGGATGCTGCCGACCCTCCAGGTAGAGTACAGGGGCACCATTGAAATACTGAGAGAACAGGTCTACATCCATCGTAGCTGACATCACAACTATCTAGGTAAAGATAAGAGAAGAACAGAGAACAACACTTGTGACAGCCTTGTGCCACTCTCAAGTCCTAAAAGCATAGGAGGAGGCCTGTATTACTCCCATTCCACTTATCTTTCTGCATAGTTCTAAAACAGAATGGATGAAGAAGAAAACTGAGGAGGAGGCACAAGTCTGGCTCTACCTACTTTGAGGGGCAGTTTCCCCAGTTCCTTTCGCCTTTTCTGTGCAGCTTTCACCACACCAAAGAGCACATCTGTATGAATTGTCCGTTCATGGGCTTCATCTAAAATGACACAGCTGTACTTTCGAAGCAAGGAGTCTGAAATTGCTTCACGAAGAAGCATGCCATCTGTCAGGAACTTGATCCTGGTATCTTCTGAGGTGACATCATCAAAACGTACTGTATAGCCAACCTTTGAGAAGAAATTATTCATTCATCACATGCTTGCTGCACATCTACTAAGTATCCCACACCATACCAGGCATTTGTATTATCAGTATGAATAAGACCAATACTGATCCTGATCTGTTCTCTCAGAAACATGCAGTCTAGTGGCAATGACATGTCACTTTAGCTGCAATTAAGATAAGCATTACAAAGAATATGAAAACTAGCATCAGAATGTGTTTGAGGACTTGGGTCTGATCCCGAGGACCACAACAAAACAAAAACAATTATAATTAGTCTCCTAATCCCAACTAATTGTTAGTGAAGCAATGCACATACATGAAAAGAGTTCCACGGTTTAGTTTTTTTTCTTTCTTTTTTTTTTATTGTTAGACCACACCTAGCTTTGCTCGGTGATCACTCCTGGCAAACCTGTAGGGAGGGGACCATATGAAGTACAGGGGATAGAATTAAGGTCAGTCACTGGCAAGACATGTGCCCTACCCACTGAACTATATCTCTGGCCTGTCCAAAATGTTTTTATGTGAAATAAAAAACAAACATTAATGAAATCTTATATACAGTACTGAAACTCACTGTAATCATAAGGCAAACAAATGCTTATAATTAAAGAAAGATAATATATGTAAAGAAAGATATGTAGACAGAAGATTCAACAGAAGCTACTAAAACATTTAAAACACTCAAGAGGTTTCTGGAGCAATCACACAGGAGGTAAGACGTTTGCCTTGCACACAGCTAATCCAAGTTCGATCCTTGGCATCTCATATGGTCCTCTGAGCACAGCCAGGGTAATTCCTGAGTACAAAGTCAGGAGTAAACCCTGAGTATTATTGGGTAAGATCAAAAACTAACATAAATAAAAATGGTCAAGAGGGGCTGGAGAAATAGCACAGTGAGTAGGGCGTTTGCCTTGCATTTGTCCATTCCAATTCAATCTCCAGCACCACAAATAATCTTTCAATTTCAAGCACAAGTGATCCATGAGCACAGGGCCAGGAGAAGCTCTGAGCAAAGCTGGGTGCAACCCAAAAACCAAAAAATAAAATACTCAAGAAAAACAACTTGCCAAATGGTGACAGAAAGCAAACATGTCTGAACAAATGGGACTGTCAGACCCTCTGATCTCTTCAGAACTGATTAAAAACAAAATAACAATCTCTGACACACACAGAGATAGCTCCACTGTCTGGAGAGCAAACTTTGCATGAAGGAACCCAAGTTCAATCTCTGGCACATGTGGTCCCCCAACACAATGTCAGGAGCAACCCTCAACCACTGAACCAGGAGTATTCCTAGAGCACCTCCAATTGTGACTCAAAACAGAAACAATAAATTCCTCTAAGATAGGCTTAAACAACTGGGGCAAGAAAGCAGCTTGAATGTATTAAAAGAGGGGCAGGAGAAGGTAGAGGCTAGCGCGACATACAGGGCATTTATTTGCTTTGCACGCAGTTAACCCAGATTTGATGCCAGCATCCCACATGGTCCCCCACGGCACCACCAGGAGTGATTCCTGAGTACAGAGCCAGGAGTAACCCAAGTACCACTGGGTGTGGCCCAAAACAAACAAAAATAAGTAGGGGGCAGTGTGTGGGGGTATGAGGAAAAGAAATGTTAGCAAAGAAGGAAATTAGATACCAGCTTCCCTAGCTCAGTTCTTTTCTCATCTGAGACTCTAGTAGCTAGAGAGATGGCAGCTACTCGACGAGGCTGGGTCACAGCAATGATGCCCTGGCGGCTAATGCCTCCTTCATAGAGGTATTGAGGGAGCTGAGTCGTCTTCCCAGAGCCAGTTTCACCTAGAAAATAAAAGTCTCATTTAAATGCAAACTGAAACACATTTCACCAGATAAAAACCAGAAGGAAGGGAACCAGGAAGATGTCTCAAAGGGTTGGTACACATGCTTCGCAGAAATTCAATCCCTGGGACCACACGGTCACCTGAATACCACCCACAGTACCCCACTCCCTGCCCCACAAAAGAAAAGCAAGAAGGAAAGGATAAGCTGAGAGCCACAAGGAAATGGATAGTGATATCTACTACTGGTGGAAGGTCAACAGGAATTGTTTCTCAAAAGGCCATATTTTATTAGAAAACTTTGAAAATCCTTGTTCCTTTTGGAGAAATTGATTCCAAAGGAAACTGTAAGGATGTACATAGCTTCAAAGATGTTTTATTGGGTGAGGCATGTGGCTTAGCATACATCCTGCAAGCATGACCCCTAGGTTTGATCCACAGAAAACACACTTTATTCAACTTTGCTCCTAAAAGCAAAAAATTTGAAACACTATTCAACAGTAAGTTGTAAGAACATAAAATTAAAGTAACTGGGGCTGGAGCGATTGCACAGTGGGTAGGGCGTTTGCCTTGCACGCTGCTGACCCGGGTTCAATTCCCAGCATCGCATATGGTCCCCTGGGCACTGCCAGGAGTTATTCTTGAGTACATGAGCCAGGAGTAACCCCTGTGCATCAACCCCTGTGCATTGGGTGTGTTGCAAAAAAAAATTAAAAAGTAATTATATAAAAATATTATACTTTGCAGGTTGGAGCGATAGCACAACAGGTAGGGTGTTTGCCTTGCATGTGGCCAACCCAGGTTTGATTCCTGCATCCCTCTCGGAGAGTCCGGCAAGCTACCGAGAGTATACCGCCTGCACAGCAGAGCCTGGCAAGCTCCCCATGGCATATTCGATATGCCAAAAACAGTAACAAGTCTCACAATGGAGACATTACTGGTGCCCGCTCAAGCAAATTGATGAACAATAGGAAGACAGTGCTGCAGTGCTATTATACCTTGCAAAAGCACAAAAGCATTAATCAGACTTATATGTTCTGACATGAAGAGTCTTCAATTTACATACTGTGACCATAAGAAATGCCTCACCAGACCTGAGTACAGAAGATGGGGCATTTTTTGCCTCGCATATGGCTGACATCCCCAGCACCACATAAGGTGATTCCCCAAGCCCTGCCAGGAGTGATTCCTAAGGATCACCAGATACAGCCTGAAACAAAACAAATGTCTCCCCCCTCAAAAAAAATTTCTTCACCCTGTTCTAGTCATTCTCTCTCTACCCTTTCTTTTCTTTTAAATAACCGTGAACTACAGTTACAAAATATTCATGTGTATTATAGTCATACAATGATCAAACACTCATCTCTCCACCAGTGTACACTTTCCACCACCAATGTCCCCAGTATCCACCACCACCCCCACCCCTGCCTCTGTTCCACCCCTTCCCCTGCCTCTATGGCAGACAATTGCCCACCTACTCTCTCTACTTATAGGTACTATGGTTTCCAATACACATTACACATAATGAGGGACCATCATGTTTGGTCCTCTATCTATTTTCAGCACACATCTTCCACCACAAGGAATCCCTCCAACCATCATTGACTTAGTGATCCCTTCTCTAGCCCAGCTGCCTTCCCCAGCCCAAAATGCAAGCTTCCAACCATGGAGTAATCTTCCTGGCCCTTGTCTCTACTGTCCTTGGGTGCTAGTCTCATATTTTATAATCCACAAATAAGTGCAGTCATTATATGTCTGTCCCTCTCTTTCTGACTCATTTCACGTAGCATGATACTCTCCATGTCAATCCACTTATATACAAATTTCATGACTTCATCTTTCCTAACAGCTGCATAGTATTCCATTATGTAGATGTGCCATAGTTTCTTTATCCATTCGTCTGTTCTTTGGCACTCAGGTTGTTTCCAGATTCTGGATATTGTGAATAGTGCTGCAATGAACGTACGAGTGCAGATGTCATTTCTACTGTGGCTTGTTGTACCCTCAGGCTATATTCCCAGAAGTGGTATTGCTGGGTCAAATGGGAGCTCAATTTCTAGTTTTATGAGAAACATCCAAATTGTTTTCCAAAAAGGTTGGATGAGTCGGCATTCCCACCAACAAGGAAGGAGAGTCCCTTTCTCCCCACATCCAAGCCAACACTGATTGCTTTTGTTTTTTTGGATGTGTGCCAGTTTCTGTGGTGTGAGATGATACCTCATTGTTGTTTTGATCTGTATCTCCCTGATGATTAGTGATGAGAGCATTTTTTTATGTCTTTAGCCAGATTTTTTCTTTGAAAAAGTTTGTTCATTTCATCACCCCATTTTCTGATGGGACTGGACGTTTTCTTCTAGTAGAGGTCAACCAGTGCCTTGCATATCCTTGCATATTAACCCCTTCTCAGAAGGGTACTGGGTTAATATCCTTCCCATTCTATAGGCTCTCTTTGTATCCTGGATGCTGTTTCTTTTGAGGTGCAGAAGCTTCTTAGTTTAAGATAGTCCCATTTATTTATCTCTGCTTCCACTTGCTTGGTTAGTTTCCTCTTTGAAGAAAGATACCTTTAGCTTCAGTGTCGTGGAGGATTTTGCAGGCTTTTTCTTCAATGTACCTTATAGATTCTGGTCTGATATGAAATGCTTGCTCTCGTGCTGTCTGCTTGGCAAACTCTACAGAATGAGTTAGACCTCAAACTTACTCCTTTGTGGCTACATCTGAGGCCTCCTCTGTACTCCTCAGTGTCTTTCATCGTTCATCCAGCACTCCAAACCTGCTTGTGCAGATGTTTAAATCCTGGTGGGCAGAGATTTACTTAATCCTTGTGCATAGTGATCACCCAATGTTATCTTCTACCTTCTGTGAGTTTCTTTAATAATATTTAATTAGTACAAAGGATTAAGTAAACCTGAACATCCTTTCCCTCCCTTGCTGCTACTACACCTCTCTCACCAAGAAATCCTGACTGCTCATTACTCTTGGCCTGGACTAAAAATTTAACTCTTCTGCATTTGTTTCACTGAATCCACCTGGCAAACCCCCAAATTTGGATCAATGTCTCCCTACACGTATTTCCCCCTTCACCTATTTTGTAGAATCAAAATAACCCAACTGCAATGAGGACAATGTCCGAGATCATCAGCGCCACCATCAATCCATAATCTTTCTTTTGCAGTCCGTCATGTGTTTCCATTCTCCCCAGGGGCCTCTCTAACGCCATACAACTCCTATTATCAGCAAAGCTCCTGCATCATTTTCACAGAAAAGAGCAAAGTCCTCAAGTGTTCTCTCTCTACCTCTCCCAACAAGGTTTTGGACAGGTATACCCATTTTACCTTCTACCTCCTGTGACAGCCTCTAGGTTATTCTTTCTTCTAATCCGGACCAACTCTGCCTTAAGATTTTGTTAACCAGAGTTCTATTCTTTACTGAATAGAGTAGAACTTCCCCATACTCTATTACTGTCTGCTTTCCATATTCAGTCTCCTCCAGTTACTTCATTCTACCTCTGAGTTTCTCTCAGTCCCTCCCATTTCCCCTGAAAATAGGCTGCTCCTACTGCCTTCATTTATCTCTCTCTTATTGACTCTTCAGCACAGCCACATATCAGCTCTTACCCTCCACAGTTCTGCTTAGTTGGGAGCAACACTCAATACCTTCCATCCAAGTGGGTATTTTGGGGTCCTTGTATTAGGAGACCATACTGATGTATTTGCTCACTCCCTTCTTTCCCTTTGTCTATCAATTCCCCCTAAGATTTCTCTTTGGAAGCTCATCCTCTCCAACCATTAGGAGCGTTCATACTTAAATGCTGAGGATCAAAACTCCCTGCTACGATCAACCCACAATAATCCACCAAAAACTTCTATGAGACTGAGGGGCATAGTCTGGCTACAGAGCACTTGCTTTACATATAAAAAGGGTTTGATCCCTCGTACTGCAAACAAAAACAAAGCTGCAATGCAAAAACTACTACTTGTAGGCGGACGAATTTGCACTCCCATGTATGAGGCGTCTCTCCTGTATCAGGCACTCCGCTCAGGGTAGCATGTCCTGCGGGGGCAACTTCCCACGCGGCCTCCTCCAAACGCTCAGACCCATTCTTCTCATCTTCCAAAGCCCCCGGATTCCCCTCTGCTCTTTCACACAGAAGATGAGTCTCCGCCCAAGACACCGGCTGCCACTGGCCTGGGAACCGCGTGCCCGACTTTTCTCCGCGGCCGGCACAGGAAGAAAGGCGGGCAGGTTTGGTGTGGGATGAGAGGCGCCAAAGAAGCACTGCTCGCTCGGGCGCAGGAACGGGGGCAAGAAAGGACCCGCCAGCCCCGCAACTCACCGATGAGGATGGCGCTGTCCAGGTTCCGGAGCTGGACCAGCAGCTGCCGCCGCGCCTGGAAGATGGGCAGGCTCCGGCGCTGCTGCTCCACGGCCTCGGGCTGAGGGCCGCCCTCGGGATGGGCCGGCGGCGCCTGCTGCCTCCGGCTCCCGCCGCCGCCGCCGCCCGCCGCCAGCAGCATCACCGCCTGCTCGCCGGGACGCCGGACCAGAGCGCCGCGGAAGCCTCGGCGGGACCTCCTGCCGGCGAGCCCGCCTCCTCGGCACGACGGGGGACTGCGTGAGGCGGGCGCCAGGGCAGGCGGCGCGCCGCTCGCGGGAGCGGACGGCTAGCGGGCACCGCCCCTTCCGCCGCGTGCGGGCTACTCCGGGCGACCGCGGACGCCGTCTCGGCGCCGTCTCTTCCGAGGGAAGCGGCTCCTCCTCCCACTGTGGCCAGGTGAAAGGCCTCACTTCCTGGGGGCGGGGCGAGAAGGCTGCGGTCCAACGGGGAAAAGGGTCCGAGCAACACTGCAGGAGAGTAGGAGCAAGGTTCCCAAGCGCTTTGGATCATCAAGGCGCTATTCTTGACAGTGTTCAGATCTCTCTTCGGCAACTCGGTTTCTCCTGTCTGTAATTCTGCTAGCCCCTTGAGGACAGTGCTTAATTCACACACAAATTTTGATACTTCGACATGAAACAAGTGTCAAACAATTTATGCTGTGGGGTAGCATCGCAGGGAGGTAGGCGGACCCTAGAATGTGTCCTGGGAATGATGCTGAAACTTAAACCAGTACAAAGACATGAAGGCCTTTGAAATACAGTGCCCAGCTGAGATGCAAAATTCTAGGCTCAGAACGTGGTTCTACCTCCTGGGTGGAGCCCATTTAGCAGTACAGAAGCAAAGACCATGCTAAGTATCAAAATAAGAGGAGCGGCCTGAGTGACCCTACAGAGGGTAGGGTCACTTTACCTTGAATGTGGCCCACCGGGGTTCGCTCCTCCAGACCTCAGTACTGCCAGTGATCCCTGAAGGCAAAGTCAGGAGTAGTAAGCCCTGAGCACTGCCAGGGGTGGCCCCAAAACAAACAAACAAACAAACAAACAAAAAAACCCCACTAAGCTTTATCTCTTGACAACAATCCTAGCAAGCCCTGAGCACTGCCAGGGGTGGCCCCAAAACAAACAAACAAAAAAAACCCACTAAGATCTAAAGCTTTATCTCTTGACAACAATCCTAGCAAAAGACATTGCTGTGTGTGTGTGTGGGGTGTGTGTGGCTGCCACCTCTCTTCTCCTTACTTCTAAGTCACCTGCAATAGTGATACCGATACTATCACAGGTAAATTTTCCTTTGTAAGTGGTTAGACTTTCTGAAGCAAAATCGAGTTTAGCACTTATCCATACTCCATAGTTAGCTTTTATTTCTCCAAGTCAAAAGAACACAAATAAACTGGTGGGAAGAGGCCCAGTTCGGAAGATTTTTAAAAACCTCAAACCTTATGTCACTTTCTGGGTAGAATCCATAAGTAATATAGTTGGAAATATAAACAGTCTTGCCTCCTGTCTCTTTCTATGGGACAGAAAGAGACCTTAAGGTTTGAAAATTTGTGATTAATTTTTAGCCCTGAGTAGATATTGGACCATAACATTTCAAAATAGTACCCAATATTACCAGAGCATATTAGATTTTCAGGGGTTTCATATAATTGTAAAACATTTATATCATTATTTTCATAAATTATTTTAAAGCTAGATATGTTTCCCTGTGTGGGAATGCCCTTCTTGAGAAGGCATTCAATAAACCAAACGAGTCCACATTTTTTTTTTTACTTTAAGGGGGTAAACAGAGTTCTTTTAAGACCTCCCATATTCACTATCTCTTTAATAATGTAAAGATTTTATTTTTTGTGGGGATGGATTTCTAAACCCACCATGCAGTGTCCAGGATCTATTTATGGCTCTGTTCTCAGGGCTAATGCTTAGTAGCTCTTGGGGAAACCATTTGGTGCCAGGGTTCAAACCTTGGCCTCATATGTAAAGCAAATTCTCTGCCTCTCTGACCCCTAAAAAATTAAAATTTTATTACATTTTTAAAATTCTTATTTCCAGAAATGTTTGGGTAATCATAGGTGGTGCTGGAAATTAAGCTATGGTCAGTTGCATTCAAGGCAAGCACTTTACCCACTTGGCTATCCCTCCAATTCATCATGTATTTCTTCCCCCGTAAAATTGTCTAGGTTCGGGCAGAAGCATGGGTAGGCTTCACTCCCTCCTCTGAGCTTTCTCTCTTCCATGGACCTCCTTATGTGGAGTTTAAATGTCATGGCAAAATGGGTCTGGTGTAGGGGAAAATTCTTATTTTATTTTTATGTTTGAATAAGAGTGAACCTCAGTGGATCAACCCACAAAGGAGTTCAATAATTCATTTTTGTGCCCACTGGTCTGTCTGATCCTTTTCTTAAAATATATATTCCCAGGGGCTGGAGAGATAGCACAGCAGGTAGGGCGTTTGCCTTGCATACGGCCAACCCGGGTTCAATTCCCTGCATCCCATATGGTCCTCTGAGCACCGCCAGGAGTAACTTCTGAGTGCGGAGCCAGGAGTAACCCCTGTGCATCACTAGGTGTGACCCAAAAAGCAAATATATATATAGCACAGCGGTAGGGCATTTGCCTTGCACGCAGCCGACATGGCCGACCCGAGTTCGATTCCTCTGCCCCTCTCGGAGAGCCCGGCAAGCTACCGAGAGTATCTCACCTGCACGGCAGAGCCTGGCAAGCTTCCCGTGACGTATTTCACAGTATGCCAAACACAGTAACAACAAAGTCTCCAATGGAGACGTTACTGGGCCCGCTCGAGCAAATCGATGAACAACGGGAGGTCCATGACTATATATATATTTTTCCCCCGTTCTCATTCTGTAAAACTCCATCAGAAAATGGCATCTCCCAGCCAGCTTACTGCTAACATAGCTCTTTTTAGACCTGCCATCATTCTCTTGCAAATTTGAGCAAGTTCAGTCAGGAGTGTGGAACTGTTATGATGAGGCAGCCTTAGAAATCTGAGACTCTCAGGTAAGGCCGTCACGTGATAGGGTTTTCTTTGTCTGGGGGACTGTGCCCTTCTTGACCTACCTCATGCCGCCTGCCACTAGCGCCAAACCTAATGGTCAAACAGGATAATCAAACTGATCAAATGTGTCTATGTGACCACACACATATGTTATTTGTTATATATTGTGATGTGTGTTTTAGATTTTTCTGTAACTCCAAGGGTTAAATGATTATTTCCTTTATTTATCTTATGTGAAATCTATGTCCTGTCTTTTCTGTTATTAATAAAAAGAAAAGACAAAAGCAGCACTATTAGTAGGTCTGATATTCCTAACACTCTAAGAGTTTGACTTAACTAGGACAGTTGATATGACAATTCTTTCCTTGTCTTGTCTTTTTTTTTTATGAAGGAGTGTGTTTGGGTTCAGACTGGTGCTCAGGGGCTATTCCCAGATCTGCACTCATGTGTTGTGTTTAGCTATGTTCATGAAACTACACAGTGCTGGGAATTTAACTGGGGTCTCCTGCATGTAGAGCAAGTGTCTTAACCTTTGTACCATCTCTCTGGTCCCCATCCTTTTGTCCTGTCTTATATGGTAAATAAACTTGAAATCTTTTGGATAAACAATACAGTTTATTATTCTGGTGAATCACAATTAAGTTAGAATATTTCTTTCTTTTATTTGGGGGGCCGAGTTACACCTGGTGGTGCTCAGAGGCTCAGGAGTCACAAACAACAAGTCACAAATCATCCTGTTAATCGTCGATTGCCTCGAGCAGGCCCCAGTAACGTCTCCTTCATCCTAGCCCTGAGATTATATTCAAGGCTCTTTCAGGAGTGTCTTCTGGAAATGATTAGGGGACCATATGTGGTGTCAGGGATCCAAACTGGAATGGGCAGGATGAAAGTAAGCACCTTAATCCTTGTACATTCTCCAGCCCCAAGTTGGAAGATTTCTAATGTGGTTATAGAACCTATAAAAAAAGTTTGGAGAGTCAGAGAAATAGTAAAATAGGTAGGATGCTTTCCTGACTTGCACCCAACACGATCTGATCCTAAGTTCCCCATATGGTTCCCCAAACATGGCCAGGAGTAATTATCATTATTATTGTTGCTGTTGTTGTTGTTTTTATTAAAAGATTGTAATTCATAGGGGCTGGAGCAATAGCACAGCAGGTAGGGCGTTTGCCTTGCACACGGCCGACCCAGGTTCAATTCCCAGCATCCCATATGGTCCCCTGAGCACTGCCAGGAGTAACTCCTGAGTGCAGAGCCAGGAATAACCCCTGTTACTGCATCGTCGGGTGTGACCCAAAAAGCAAAAAAAAAAAAAAAAGATTGTAATTTATAAAGTTGTTCATTATACAGTTGTTTCAAGCATTTAATGTTCCAATAGTGTTCCAACAGTGTGACCTTCCCTCAACCAGTATCCCGTTTCCTCCCAATCCCAACCAGGAGTAATTCTTGAGTGCACAGGCGTTACTCCTGACTATCACTGGGCATAGCAAAAAAAAATTGATTAGGGTCTAGGCACTATAGAGAATGGGATAAAAGATCTTTGTTGAGGAGTCAGAGCGATGGTACAGCAGATAGGGCATTTGCCTTGCACATAATCAACCCATCCCTGTCATCCCATATGGTCTCTGGGCCTGCCAGGAGTGATCCCTGAGTGCAGAACCAAGTGTAAACTCTAGTCACTTTGAGGTAGCATACTGCACTCCTCCCCTCCCCCGATAAAAGATCTTTGTTGAATATCTGTAGGCTTATATTAAAAGCCAAGACCAAGTTTGACCAGGAACTAGACTTTGTCTTTGTCTTTAAAATAAAGGTAATGGGCTTATTCCCCATTCTCAAAGTCAACCATATTTCAACCTTAGACGTGTATTTACTATCTTTTATGGGTAAAAAATCTTTATGGAGTTCCTCCGTTCTCTCCCTGCTAGACAAATCCACACTCTCTTTAACACATATGTATGTATGTCTCTCTCTCCCTCCTAGTATTTCCCTAAGTAAAACTATTTTACTGCACACATGCACAAACACACACACATACACACACACCCCAATAAATAAAGTTATTATAAGAGAAAAAAGTTATTATAAAAGAAATATTATTTTAAAAGTCACTATAAAAGAAAAACCTCTTTAAAAAGAGACATAAAACTCTTAAAATTAAATTTAAATAGTTTTTAAATTTTAAATTGAAATTTAAAAGAAAGTTCTTGTGTTTTTACAAACAGTGGTAATTCAAATATTTTCTTTTATAGGCATATAAAATTTTAGTAAAAACCAAGAAATTTATTTTTCATGTCCGTATGTACATTTGCATGTCTCCCCACTTTTCTTTTGCGTCTGAATAGAATTTTTAGAATCCTAGCACAAAAATGCTTTATGTGAAATAATACTGGTAAACAAAAATTGGCTTAAAATATAGTAGCTTAGAAATCTCCTGACCCTCTGCTCACTTCCCCACCCTTCTAGGTGAGATTAGTTGGCTGACATCTTCCAAAAGAGGCAGCTTCTACTCACTTCCCCACAGCTCCCACACCTGACCTCACCATATTAGTGGATCCAGTGCCATATTTCCTGAAGCATTCTACTCATGTCCTGACATCTAAACCTCTTTTCATCTTGTGACGTGCATCATCTTCTCATCTTGCAAGGCTTTTTTTTTTTTTGACTAATATAGAAATGAAATAGAATGACTTGTGCTAATGCCAATACCAATGAAACTTCCAGGTCAGGTAAACTTTCTTGAGATGTAAAAGAATAAAAGGAGAGAGAGAGTACAGGGGTAAGGTACTTGTCTTGCACATGGCCAACCCCAGTTTGATCCCTGGCACTGCATGTTTGGTCCCCTGGGCACCATCAGGAGTGATCCCAGAGTACAGAGCCAGCTATAAGCACTGAGCATTCCAGGTGTATCCCCAAAACCAAAATCAAACAAACAAACAAGTGATAGAAATTTCTACTAATAGGGATTGGAGTAATAGTACTGTAGGCAGGGCTCTTGCCTTGCACACAGCTGATCCGGGTTCAATCCCTGGTGCCCCATGTAATCTCTAAAGCCCACCAAAAGTGATACCTGAATGCAGATCCAGGTGTAACCCCTCAGTATCAATCAGGTGTATGGCCCAAAAACAAACAAAAAAATTCTATTAATAATTGTTCTCTAAAATTTTTGCAAAAATTAAACTTTACCAATTTAAGAGAGTATAAAAAAAGTTGTTTCAGATAAAATAGTGACTCCAGTTAACTCAATTAAGACTCTCCACTCCTGACATAGTTAAAGCCATAACACTGAGTCTTAGTAAAATATTAGAGGACTATATCTTAAAGGTGTGTCCAAGTGTTCTACAAAATTGTACTAAATTTAGTAATAGGGAATCTCTGAGTACTTTGGGGGCGGCAGGGCACATCCGGCTATGCTCAGGACTTGCTCCTTTTTCTGTTCTCAGAGATCAGTCCCCTCAGTGCTTGGGGACACTATGTGGTGCCTGTGATTGAACGGGGTTGGCTGAATGAAAGTGCCTTACCTGCAATACTGTCTCTCTCGCCCTTCTAATGAGACCTTTGATAGTGATCATTCCAAAATCTTTTGCTATTCTATAAAATTGTTCTAATGCCACTGTGACAAAAACTAAAGACCCCTTTTAAAAAAAACTGCTGGGTGGTCCCTCTTACTGCTCTGGTGCCAGTAGCTCTAACCTCACTTTGATTGCAACAATTTGTTATCAGAAAAACTTTCAAACTGGTAGGTTCCTATTGTAGGCAAAATTGAATTATTGGACCAACCTGGAATCTGAAATGTGAATTTTTTAAAATTTCTCCAAGAGGAGGAGCACAAACACCCATACAGGAGAAACCCCAACATTTAACTGTTTGGTTTTGATTTTGGGGCCACACCCAGCGATGCTTGGGGCTTATTGCTGACTCTGCTATCAGTGGTCACTCATAGTCATGTTCCAAGGACCATATTGGGGTGCCAAGGATTGAAACCCTGGCTGGCAAAGTGCAAGGCAAGTGCCATAATCCCAACTCTGCACTCTTGAAACACATATTAGGGTTTTCAAGAGTGGCACCTCTACTTGAGCCTTGTCACCTCCCAACTGAGTGCAGATTCAGTGGCCATGTCAGTCTTCAGTGCACTTCCCAGTCCTATGAGAAGAACGGAGGGAGACAATGAGAGTCATCAGGATTAAAACTTTTTCCGTTCATTTTCCAGCTCTGAAAGGAGAGAGGAGATATAACCAGAAATTTAAAGGGGGATCCTTTTCCCTTTGCTTTATTTTTATTTATTTATTTATTTATTTTTTTTGGTGGTGGTGGGGGATCGCACCTAGTGATGCTTAGGGATAATTCCTGGCTCTGAACTCAGGAATCACTCCTGGCAGTGCTCAGGGGACCATATGGGATGCCAAGGATCAAATCGGGTCAGCTGCATGCAAGGCAAACACACTACCCACTGTACTATCTGGCGTCAAGGAAATCTTTCTTCTTGCTTCAGGAACGGAGGCAGCTCCAGCAGGGCAGTGGTGGCAAGGATCATGCTCTGTCTAAAACAGCTATAGCACTATGGAAAAATAATAACAAAATATATTAATAGGTATAAAATATATATAATAGAGGCTAGAGAGATAGATAGTACATAGGGTAATATCCTTGTCTTGCCTGCTGCAGACTTTGTTCAATTGCCCCACTGCATATGGTTCCCTAAGCCCTGCCAGGAGTGACACAGAAACCGGAGTAAGTCCTGAGCATCTACTCATGTGGTCCAAATTGTCCCCTCTTTCCAAAAAAGTCTGTATGAACACTTCAGGGAGACTCAGGTCCTGTCAGTGGCATGAATGTAGCTATCGGGCTGGACTTGAGACCTGCTTTATCTGCTTATTGTCAGAATTGATTTGGGGAGTGATGGTTCTCAAGTTGAACCACAGTTTTGGTATTCACTGGAAAATGAAAGTCCTCTGATTTTCATTCCAGTTTCACCTATTCTTAAAGAAAAGAATAGCAGGAGAGGAGTCAGAGAAATAGTTCAAAGAGTTCAAAGGGCTGAGCCCCTGCTTTGAATGCATGGGACCAAAT